AGTGCTTAAATGTTCGAAAAGTGACGGTCGTTGCCAGTGATACTCCGGATTTCGAACAAAAAATCCGCCATCCGCGAAGGAAATTTCAACCTACTTGAGTCTGTTTCTCTCACTGAAAGAAGTAAAAATCATATCTTCTGGAATCTTTCATGACCGGACTATTAATGAGGTTTTAAGTAGTTGCACACATCTTCAACAACTCTACATTTTCTCCCAAGAAAAATTTAAAATTGACTACGCCCCGTTCCCAAAGCATGCTTCTCTTGAGCTTCTCTTCCTGGAAATAAATGGGGTTTATGCGGACAATTGTTCTAACAGACTTTTGAGTGAAACACTATCGAACTTATTCTCTCTCAGATACATCCTATTAAAGATTGGGAACGGTAAATATCCCAGCATTAAGACCCCGAATGCATTCTTTGCAGTCAGAACTGAACTGCGTTGGTTGGTTGTAGTCTTCAACAATCATGGCGGAGCACTCTTGTGCCACGCAAACAAGGACAGTCATACAGGCCTAGAAATTTTCAACGTTCCCACCTTCCACCTCGGAAATATGATACACACCTACCCGGAACTCTATGATATATTTTGGAGTGAATTGCTGAGGTTTTCTAAACACCCGCTTTATTAACCCCAGTAGATCAATCTACTATTGCCTCCCAATGTTACGAATTTTCTTTCGACAACCCTACGGTGCCTGTACTTTCTCGTGTGTGATACTTTTATTGATGTCTATTTTTTAGTAAGCGAAAGCGTTCTATACTCAAGGCTGAATTTTGGCAAGGAGCGGAATGGAAATATCACCTGCGATGCTCATCATAAATATTCAAATGACTACAAAGTATTTGGGCGCTTCTGCAGTTTGGTTGACTTTTCGAGAGCTACTTGCTGTCTCGACACCAGAAGGATACCCATATAACAAGTCTGGGACGACTGATTGAATTCGAACAACTTTACTGCTCAAGAAGCTTTACAGTGGCGCCGCCTACGATAGCTAGCCGTGCAGGTGCTAATGTGGGTATGTGAAAAGTTAAGGCTTGGAATGAATAATCAATCAGCTGCCGCCAATCAAATGAGGCAGGAGTATCGATTACCTTTGAGCGTAAACACGGTGAGTTGACCTCAAGCGTGCAAAAGGGCAATAGCGCGCGTGCGAAGCTCGGCGCACGAAAGGCAGAATGAGTCAGCTCAGCTGCGCTGGGCGACGGATTCCAACAGACTTACCTGTTATCGATGGCCACCACTTTCGTTTTGAGGCAAGAAACTCAACAACGCAAAAGAGTTCATTCGGGCACATTAACGAAAGCGGAAACGCTATACACACCTTGCATATCCGACAGCTTTCTCGTCTCCACTACTAATAAATCCTTAACGACCAACGTGACCACCCATAGTTGCTTTAACACCCCAGTCTGCTATCCTGCCCTCATGGCAGTGGAGTCTCCACCATACCGACTACTGATTTTTGCATTCTGATCATGCAAGTCACCAGAGAGGAGTTAGATGAAGTAGCTATGTAGTGGTGCCATCGCTTTATTGCGAGACGACATAGATAAGTGCAAAGAAATGCTGTAGGACGCAGTTGTCCCCGATAAACATTAAAGAACTAACTGCGAAAGTTATCGGTGCCTCATCGGCTTGAGCCACTTTCGGAGGTGGAACTTCAAAGCCAGGGATCTATCCTCCAGTCGCTGGACTGCTACAGCCTCTTTTAACTTGTACAATGTCACCTGACCGTCTTTTCTGTGTACTTTTACTACTTACTTATGCTTAGGTACTGATACTTATTACAGCTGTGATCATGCTTTATCTAAATAGTGTCACGAATGGTACTCCTCCACGCGTGACGATTGGCGTTAGTGGATCTGGGGAGCTCCACTCATGATCTTGTCCAGCGACGAAAATCGAAAATCGAAGGCTAAGAATCGCTTCCGCGTCTTGACGAAGGGTATCCAGCCAAGTCTTCAGTTGCCCTCTTCTTCGACGACTTAGGTTGGACTGGGCGCCAGATGGAGGGCAGCATAGCAAAGCTTGTGAAGCGGACGACGAAGAACGATCTCAACCCATCATGGCCGTCTTTATTGTAAGGCCTGAGATATCCTCGCGATAATTTCGCAGCGAGTGCGGACTGTCTCATTTGAGCCGAAGTTGGTATACTTTACTCGAAGGATGAGGTCAGGATCGTGGTCGTTGTCAGTTTTGGTATCTCACATCGATCTGCTATTGTGGATCCAGATGCGAAATCTTCAACCAACTAGAATTTAATCGATCTCACTGGTGGTACAGCCATCGTTTAAATACGAAGTCAGAATGTTTATGATAATGCTGAAAGCATGTGTTGGTGACAAATAGTCGGTTCTGATGAGCAAAATGCAGCATCCTCTCACCGCTTTCGGGTCGAGAGCCAAGCTCAAAAGGACTAATAGGATGACTATTTGACGAGTCATCGACCCACTCCGGCCTTCCAGTTCTCGGCAGCAATCATCAGGTCATGACGAGGAAGTCTTTCAAATAACTCCTGTAGCTACGAACATAATTTCTACTTAACTTTCTGTTCAGTAACTGATGTTGGTGATCCTTTATTTGAGCAGAAGCCATTCGGTCATTGACTAGTTCCCATGCCAAAATTGCACGGTTTAGAAGTAAACTATGCGATAGCTGGATCGCGAACATTTGTTGCTTGATGTTTCGGCTTCTGTTTTGAACCCCTTTATCAGAAGAAACCGCAGAATAAGGGGATACGTAAGTGGAAAAGTTACACAGTTTACTTGTTCCTAGATGATGCTAGCGACACCCTGTCTATAAAATGAAGCAAGTGGGCTAATGTGATACAGGATGAAGTAGAAATTAACTATCGGGGTTTTCATTTCTCCAGTACCTGACTTGGGGATTCAGACAGGCAGGAAACACCTATATGGTATTCATTGAGACTGCGCGCTGTAAGACTTTAAATACCAGGTTTCGGAAGTGTTCGCACATTCCAGTAAGCAATATCAAGAGTTCTTGCGTGTTTAAGTAGTCCTGTATGGATACTATTCGCCCGCACCACAGGACAGGGGTTGCGGAACGCGTCAGTCCAGTAAGCAATATCAAGAGTTCTTGCGTGTTTAAGTAGTCCTGTATGGATACTATTCGCCCGCACCACAGGACAGGGGTTGCGGAACGCGTCAGTCCAGTAAGCAATATCAAGAGTTCTTGCGTGTTTAAGTAGTCCTGTATGGACACTATTCGCCCGCACCACAGGACAGGGGTTGCGGAACGCGTCAGTCCCCACAGACGCCGTAGCATGTACCTTAATATTGTGAATAGACATTTTGCATGAGAGATTTTGGGGATTTTTAATACAGGCGAGTCCCCAACTGTCGCTCGGTTTCTTTGTTCGAGGTTGTCTCCTCTAGCACTTTGGCCCAAAAACCTAGCCACAAGGCAGCAGTGACAATCAGAGCTAGTTAATGACGGTTGCCTCTCACAGAGTCACAGTGCCGTGATTGGGACTTGCGGCATTTTATAAGGCTGTCCGTGTGCAAGACCTCAGCCCTCCGCGCCCTGATAACGCTGTCGCTGCTGGTCCGCGACTGCTTATTCGCCAGGCCCAGGAGCCTACTTATTTCGCTGCTTACTTTCGCCGAATACCGTTCCACTATCCGCTACTTGTGGACGCGTCAGGTAGATAGCATCTAGTCTAAGAGGACCTAGGAGTGAGTATTATGATCAGAATTTTAAATATGGTTAAATCCCACATTAGATGTTCCCATACTAAAAAAGAAACTAGCCTTAGCTACATCTAAATCAAACTAAACTTAACTAACTAAACTAGCCTCAGTCAATGTAACTGAACTAAAAACTTAATTAGACTAAAAATAATAAAATTTAAACACACTGCAGAACGTAAAAGTTTGAGTGTGGCTACGGCAATGGAGATGGATTGTGTCGCACCTTGATAGTGAAAGATATTATGCCTACAACTACAAACTAAGTAGGCAGTTTTGCGAAGTAACCGTAGTCAATTCGAAACCAATCGTTCTCACAACTAAGCGAATTCGTCACATAGGAGTAAGTTTGTAAGCTAAGCATATGGATAATCTCCATGGACAACAGAAAATTAAGGGTTGCAATATAAATTGATATCCGTATGTAAGGTGAAAGTTTCTACACGAATGTTGCATTTGTTTTGTGGTGAACCTTCTCAACCATTTATGCATAATGCTTTTAGCCAAATCAACTGCGGTAGCTGTCGTAACAATAGTAATCATTTACGCTCAGAAAATGCAGTCCGAACAAGCCCCCAATGGTCGCGCCTACAAGTATTGACAGAAGCGCCGCCCTTGCAAGCGCTCTGTACACTTTTAAAAAACGTTTTCGGTTTTTCCCTTGCGAAAACCAACCACTTCACAATTTCACTCATTACTGCTAATTTTAGGAGAGTTCTTCATGATGTGTCCGCTAAAATCAGAGTTTTTATCAGTAAAGGATAACAATTTGGTCACGGCATATGCACTCATTTTTGAACACCTAAGATAGGTGTAACTTTTGGTGCGGATGGAAAATTAAAACGAAAATCAGATCGTTTAATGCTTCAAATATTGGAAGGTAGGAGCAGTAGCATTTTTAACCATCATTTTCACACGTCCACTCAAACAAATTAAACTTTCGTAGAATAGAGCATTCTGTAGGGTACATTTCCTTAAGTAAAATTAAAGCCTTTTAAGAGCTTTACTTGTTTACGCTCGCGTTCGGTTGGGTAAAATATGTTCAAATCGAGCCTTCAAGTAATACAACTTAATACGTTAGTTTCCGGTTCTACTTTATGTCGAATACGCATAGGTCATGTTATTTTATGGTTTTTTCCACTGCATACGAGACATACGTTTTTGTCTAGGTAAATTCCATAAGAAAGGTCGTTGCTATAGAACAGAGATCGGAAACGTATGGCTCGCGAGCCAGATGTGACTCTTTTGATAATTGCATCTGGCTCTCCCAGATAAAATTGGGATTAGCAACTTCAGATTTTGTGATTTTGGTACCTCCAATGACGTGCCACCGCTTATCATACTCACGTTTAATTAAATTCAATCTTAAAATATAGTATGTGGCTCTCACTGAAATATATTTCCAAATGTTTGCTTTCTTGGCTCTCTGTGTCAAAAAGGTTTCCGACGAAGTCTGTTCTAGGGGATGCCCACATTAAGGGAATTCATAAAAAGCAGCTGGTTTCAGATGAAACAGAGCACCAGACCCTAGGGCCACTGTTGGCAACCTATGGCTCGCGAGCCATATATGGCTCTTGCGATGATTGCGTATGGCTCTCTCAGAAACTTCAGATTTTGTAATTTAGGTTACTTTTAGGGGTCTAAGTAGTGGGTTGTACTCGGATCACTACAATCATCAGGCCAGATCCCAGATTGGAAGTTATAAAACAGAAGTCACCAGAAGGAGTGATCTATTATATACAGAACTCCCAATTGCTGTCCTAGGTGGCAGGGGCCACTGGCGAAGCCAGAACTTTGGTTGATTGCGTCCAGCCAGACCTGAGAGAGCTTGAGACAGTGGTGACAGCTGCTTCAGTAGGATTGCGGAGCAGGTTCAAGTGTTCTGTTATTGGTGTCTTGCAATTGCCCGAGGGAATGTCACCTGCAGAGATCTTTGCTGTATCGGCCGAGGGGCGGAGTATTCAAATGGTTCTTAGTTAGGCATACTTATATATTTGTGCGTGTATGCTCGGGTGTGTGCGCGTGGCTGAATAAACTGCGGTCAACTTGAGGGGCCGCCAGGAAAGGGGACGCTCGCGCAGCTGTTACCAGTTAGCCAGAAGGAGCTGCGAG